TCAAGGATCATAAATCAGTTGCAGAATCGGAAATTAAAGCAAACTAACTTAAGTACTTCTTTGCTTTGGACAGGAAAGTGCTCTGAGATCAGTTGATAAGAGTGGAATAAAGCACTAATATTCCTAAAGCAACATCTTCACTCTGTGCTGTCCAAACAGCTGGAAGAAGTGAGTTTTTCCAGTCTAACTGCAGGAACTCTGTGTGAAATTCCCCTCCTGTTTCCTTTCCAGCAGCCCACAGCGGCTCGCAGGCTGCAACACGAGTCTGTCCCACAAGCTCCTTACCTTGTGTTCACTCAAGGGTTAATGAGTTTGCAAGTTGCAAAGCCTGCTGTGTCTTGTGTGGGAGTAAATGTCATATCCCACTGCACAGGGTATTTATAGCACAGCACTATTTGGGAAGTGAAACTTTTGAATGGTGAAGTTTTCAAGCAGTTGCTTCAGGATGAATTTCTGAGGAACAGAACAGCCGAGGGCCCGTTTGTCACTCTGGCTCAAGGTGGCTGCAAATGTCACAGTGAGAGCAGGGGGTCTGAGTGGGACCACCTCAGGTCTGAGAGCTCCAGTGTCCACTCACAGGGGGGTTGTGCAGCTGGCACACCGATCCCATATCCCTGCTGGAAGATGGAGTGCTGCTCTGCCATCATCCCCACAGCAGCTGCTGCAGGAGCTCTTCTCATGGACAAGCACCCAATGTCCCCTGGGAGGGCCACCCTCCACACAGGTTCTGCAGTGCAGCTGCCATGGCCAGACCCCAAATCCAACACAACCTGAAGGAGGGGACACCTGGACCCAAGAACAGACTCTGGCAATGCCAGCACACAAGGCATGGGGGCCCCCACCTCTCCTGTGCCCCGAGCTCAGCAGCACCCATGAGGGCTGACTGCAGCTTCTAGGAGGGTTTAGGACAAGACAGCGTGGGTGTCTTGTGGTCAGAATTCTTCTTTGTTAAAATGGTGACACGTCCCTGGGATTGGTGGGATGATGCTGGAGATGAGCCAAGGTGGAATGAGCTGTCTCCATCTCTGGATCCCACACTGAAGCTGCCAAAGCCCTGCCTAGCTCCAGTCCTTTTATTGTAACTTGCTGCTCTTGGCTCACACACACCAAACGTGGAGTAACAGATCAGGAACTCCCAGCTAAGAGCTTTTCCTAACCACTGGTCCCAGAGTGGATCACCATCATCAACCCAGGCAGGAACAAAAGGTTTCTGTGAGGCTGTGGGTGCTCTCTGAACTGTAACTGTAATCACACAAGTAGGTCTTGACACTACTGGGGCACCCAAAAGGAGGACACTGAATATTTTGCAGCAATTATTAATGCAGCTATTTGTGCTAACTCTTCAAACCAAGTACAGATACGCCCTGTGCTATTTCCATAAACAGGAGCACAGCTGTATTTGCATTCTCTCCATGTGTGCTGGTGCTCAGAGCTACTTGTGGGTTTGATTGCTGCAACAGAAACCCGAGCCGGCCGTAGGAGACCCTGAACCAGGACGGAGGGGCAGGACAGAGCCGGGAGGGACAGAGCAGAGCCCGGAGAGGCAGAGCAGGGCCGGGAGGGACAGGACAGAACCCGGAGGGACAGGGGGACCTGAACCGGAGCCGGCAGGGACAGGGCAGAGCCGGGAGGGGCAGGGCAGAGCCGGGAGGGACAGGGCAGAGCCGGGAGGGACAGGGCCCGGAGAGGCAGAGCCCGGGAGGGACAGAGCGCGGGAGGGACAGAGCCCGGGAGGGGCAGGGCAGAGCCCGGGAGGGACAGAGCGCGGGAGGGACAGAGCCCGGGAGGGGCAGGGCAGAGCCCGGGAGGGACAGAGCGCGGGAGGGACAGAGCTCGGGAGGGGCAGGGCAGAGCCCGGAGGGACAGAGCCCGGGAGGGGCAGGACAGAGCCCGGAGGGACAGGGCAGAGCAGAACCGGAGCGGCAGGGCAGAGCCCGGCGGGGCAGAGCAGAGCCCGGAGGGGCAGAGCCCGGAGGGACAGGGCAGAGCCCGGAGGGGCAGAGCAGAGCCCGGAGGGACAGGGCAGAGCCGGGAGGGGCAGGGCAGAGCCCGGAGGGGCAGAGCAGAGCCCGGAGGGGCAGGGCAGAGCCCGGAGGGGCAGAGCAGAGCCCGGAGGGGCAGGGCAGAGCCCGGAGGGGCAGAGCCCGGAGGGGCAGAGCAGAGCCCGGAGGGGCAGGGCAGAGCCCGGAGGGGCAGAGCAGAGCCCGGAGGGGCAGGGCAGAGCCCGGAGGGGCAGAGCCCGGAGGGGCAGAGCAGAGCCCGGAGGGGCAGGGCAGAGCCCGGAGGGGCAGAGCCCGGAGGGACAGGGCAGAGCCGGGAGGGGCAAGGCAGAGCCGGCCCAGCGCCGCTGCAGCTCCGGTGGGTGGCCCAGGCGGGGCTCTCACCGTGCCCCAGGCCCTGCTGCGGCTGCAGAGCTGTCGGGAGCTCGGGGTGGTCCGGACTTGCTCCTGCTCCTCCCATCTCCGAGCTGTACCTGTGCCGTGAGCGCGGCTCGCTGACTGCAGCGTCATTGTCACACCCGTCACGCTCCATCCGTGCCTTCCAGACATTCTTTACAGCTCCAAGAGTGACAAACCTCTCTGCCGGTAATACTGAGACCACTGATTCATTTCACACCATTTGACCACAAGAGAAAAGCAGAGTGCTCTGGATTTCAGTGTTGAACCTGGGCTTGTGACAAGCTCCACGTGTGCTTTTCTCAATCCTGTCCCCCTCCTTCCCTCCCTCATCCCCAACAACTACAGAACATAACTCCAATGGAAAGTGTGGCTTGTTCAAACCCACAACATGGGTATTAAGGTCTTTTATATTTTGTCCAAAACTTTGTTTGCGCTTATTTCTACTGTGATAAAAATATCAAGGTCATAAATACCCCTAAATGTAACACCACAATCACCTCAACTACTCTGGTAAAAATAACCTCAGACTTTTAAAGGAAAATTATGTCAAATATTGTGACCAGCTACTGTCACAACTCCTGCCTCTCTTCAAAGTTTCCTTCAGCTTGAATTAGTAAGAAATGCTCCCCTGGGTGCCCAGAGCTGCTGGGGCTGCCCCTGGATCCCTGGCAGTGTCCAAGGCCAGGCTGGACACTGGGGCTTGGAGCAGCCTGGGACAGTGGAAGGTGTCCCTGCCATGGCAGAGGAACTTTCAGTTCCCTTCCCACCCAAACCATTGTGGGACTCTGTAAGGATGATCCTTTACTCAGGGATGTTGGAGGTTCTGTGGATCCCAGGCTCTGTGACTCTAACATGTTCTGCCCAAGCATGAGAGCACAGAACATGAACCCAGAACTCAACTCTCTCCATCCACCCAACCCAGAGCTGCTCCAGGGAGGACTGAAAGCCACCTTCATCTACCAGCTCTCTCCTTGGAGGGCTGAGCTGATGAGAGCAACCCCACTCCCCATATTTTCCATGCACTTTAACCAATTCCACAAGTTCTGGAGTAACCTGCAGAAAATCCCATCAACTACAACACATGAGGTGTGACAGTGACCTACTGTAATGGGTTCTTTTAACTCAGGCTTCATACCCAGAGTTAAATGGGCAACAGGGGACTGTTCTGCAACACAGACCATACAATCATTCAGGTTGGAAACAAGCTCTAGGACCAGTGAGTGCAACCAACATCAATCAACCAACACAGTAGACTCCTCCTATGAAAGAGCTGCTGGAAGTTAAAATTTCTGTCCAAACTATTCAAGGAGTTTGAGCAAGAGGCTCCTGTGCAGAGCCAGTGTATGCTGAAGGTGAGGGATGTGGGATTTTGCTCCTTCCCATTCAAAGGCTGCTCCAAGCACCATCCCTGTGGTTCTCACACACAGACTCTGCCAGAGCTGTGAATCATTGCCTGCTCCTGTGTCACTGGAGGAGTCCAAATCCAGAAGGAATAAGCACTGGATGAAATCCTTCCCTGGGAGGGTGGGCAGGCCCTGGCACAGGGTGCCCAGAGCAGCTGGGGCTGCCCCTGCATCCCTGGCAGTGTCCAAGGCCAGGTTGGACACTGGGGCTTGGAGCAGCCTGGGACAGTGGAAGGTGTCCCTGCCATGGCAGGGGGTGGCACTGGATGGGCTTTAGGGTCCCTTCCAATCACATCCAATCCATGTTTCTATGGTTCTCTAAGTTCATCAGAATCCTTTCTTGAAAGCTCTGAAACTACCTCTGAAATGCTCTATTTCCCATGGCTCCCCCATCTCATTGAGTCAAGGACCAAGTCATCACACCCACCCCTTCCTTTAGTGTCAAAGCAAAACATAACCGTACTTGGGCAAAGTATAACGCGAATAATAAAGTGTCGTTTACTGGGGAGATCGGAGTTAAGTTATAAACTAATACCACTTGCAAATCTCCCCACAGCAGGACTGACACCTCCCACTCCTCACCGCCGGGAGGAGCGCCGGCATGGGGGCACACGCTCCTGTGGCCCTTCCCTTGTCATTTCACCAGGAAAGGGCGACAGAGTCTTAGACAAGGAAAAAAAAAAATCAGTAGAATGTCTCAGCTTCCGGAGGCAAGAGCAATGTAATGGGCGACTCTCTGGAGCAGCTGCTGACAGGGAAAACGCGCTACTGAGGCACCGAGGTACCTCCGAGGGGGCTCCGAGGTGGCCTCAACACACCTGTCACCCCCTGCCCGAAGGAACCGAGGGACACGGCGGGGCGCGGGACCGGCGAGAGCCACAGCCAACATGGCGGACGATCGTGAGGGGACCGGCGGCCGCTCCCGACCCCGCCCCATCGGGGGAACGCGCATGCGCAGCGCGACGGCGCCCGGAGAATCGTGGGGCGGGGCCTACTTGGCAGAAAACTCCGCCCACTTCTGGGAAACCCAGCCGGCCTGAGGCCGGGGAGCCGGGGCAAGGACCGCGCGGTGATTGGGAGAAGGGGCGGGGTCATACGGCGAGACGGGGCGATGATTGGCTGTGAGGAGACAGGGGGCGGGACCATGGCCCGGTGCCGTCTGTCAGTGAGCGGGAGCTGGCGAAGAGGCCTGAGGGGCCGCGCCGGGCTGGACCGGGCTGAGCCGAGCTGAGTCGAGCCGTGCCGGAGGGGTAGGTGCGGGCCCGGCCACCGCCGCGGAGACGGAATGCGGGTCCGGGGTGCGGCGTTCGGGCTGGGAGCCGCGGGGTGCATCTCCCGCTAGGGCCTGGCGGAGCTTCCGCGGCTGCCGGCGGGAGCAGCGTGTGAGGAGCCCCGGCCCGGCCGGCGGCTCCGAGCGGGTGATGGGCTCGCCGGGCCCCGCCGCCGCCGCTCCCTTCGCGGCGCTGTGTGTGGGTGTTCGGAGCTGGATGTCACTGCTGCCCCGCACCTCCTCGGGTCTGCGGTGCCCCAGGCTCCCGGTGCCCCTCAGATCCCCGAGCTCCCGGTGGCTCGGGCAGCCCGGCTTTCTGATCTCCCGGTTCCCGGGGCTCCCAGTGCAGGGACTTGGCTGATCCCGGGCCCTGGAGAAGGGAGAAGGATGCAGGGATGAGCTCAGCTCATCACAACACAACCGAGCCGGACCTTAATTCACCTGACCCACCCGGTCCTTTTCATTCCTTTTAACACAACTAAATGCCTAACTCCTTTTTTTCCCCTTTTTTTCCTTTTTATTTTTTTTTCTGGCCAAAGGTTAATATGTTTCTTTGCTGATTAATAAGTTGCTGCTGTGGTTGATCTCAGATGCTTCCTGTCAGCTTTAACTGGTTACATTAGAAACATGTGTTGAGCGCTCCTGCACATGGACGACACAGCGGTCTGAAACCAGCACCTATAAACAAAGTCTGAATTTCTTTTTTAACTGGCTTTCTGAATGCTTTTATGAGTAATAATTCACGCTTCTGTGCTGTGACATTAGTGATAAGAATAGCTGAATTGAGTGTGTCTGTAGTGAGCTGCTTTATTGCATTTTACCTCAGTTGATGTCTGTTAATTGGCACAGCCACCGGATTCCTTGGGAATGAGTCACTTGCTATTAACTATTAAATTTTAACTGTATTAAGAGACTGAATGTTGTAGAGCACTGTGAAGGAGCATAACAAACAAACATAACTGAAAACCTAAAGGGTTTGTGGGACCTGATCCAACACCACTGGAGTTAATGAACTTGAAGTTAATGAGTCTGTCCTGAGTTTTCTTTCTGTGTTAAATGGGAGAGGGTAGAGCTGAACTGTTGAAGCAGTGATGAGGTGCTGAATTATTATTTTTATTATAACTGCCAAGAGGATGGAGGCAAAGTGACGGTGAATCAGCTTTCCTTCTGTGACTTTTGACCTTTGCTGGCAAGTGTCAGATGTGTTGGTGGAGACAGAGGGGTCGAGGCCTGGAGGACAGAAAGATTTCCAGCTTCTGAGATGAGCAGATGGCTGGGAATAAAAGAGCCCTGAGCTAGGAAAGGGTCTGGAGATGCTGGGAGAGGGACATGAGGATGCATGGAGGGACAGACATGTGGGAATTGCATCTGTAGGAGGGTGGGCTTTGCTGATCAGGGTTTAGTGAAGAAAATGGACCTTGTCTTTCCTAAAGGCAGTTCTGCTCCAATTTTCCTCATGTCTCATGAGAGTCTGCTCAGGCTGGACAGTTAGAAATCATCCCAATGAGTTCATATTTTGATTTTATAGTCACAACTGGATTGGCAGGACCAATCATAAATTAAGATAATGTAGAACTGCTTCTATCAATACTAAATTTAACTAGACCTTTGGGTTGGTTTTGCCAGTAAGGCATCCCAGTGTCACTGCTTCCCCATGGATTTACATGGATTTTATAAATATGATTGAAATGTAAGGCTGCAAAGCAGTGTAAAGTGACAACTGGTGACAGCCTGGCTCCCCCTGCTTGGGCAGAATAGATTTTCAGGTGTGTCTGTGGTGGCTGCTGGAAGTTGTCCCTTTAGGTGCTTTATTGTATCATTTTGTTGTAGTTTAGGAAATAATTCCATGAGTGGGCTGTCAAAGCCATGGTGTTGTTAAGTGGCCTGAGAGCTCTGTGAGAACAGCTGGGAAGCAAATCCTTATCAGGCTGAAGTTTGTTCTGATTATTTCTGTTCTCCTTGTTTACAAAAGGGTTGGGAAAAACTGCTCATTCTCGGAGTGAATGGGCTTGTGGCAGTGTTTGTAAACTCTGGGCAAGTGGTGGTGTTCATATCTTTGTTCAGCAGCATGAAAAGAATTGTTCAGGGCTGAGCTGTGCTCGGGCTGTCCTCGAGGAAATGAGGATATAAAGGTGTGTTTGGGTGCTTTTGGAAATCTGCTGATAATTAAACCCAGTCAAATATTTCCCTGCAGATTTTGTAACCAAGCTATTGCAATATCTTAATGTCTGGTAACTAAAATAAAAACCAACAGGCTCATTATCCTGATGTTTACAGTAAGCAACAGCAGTGGCTGAAAGAGGATTTGGGAGTATTTACTATCAAACCACTTTAAAGAACATGTTTACACACTGCCTGTCGTTTGTAATGGGACGTGCTCCTCCGTGGGGCTGATAGTGCAGTGCTTCAAACAGCGACCTTGTGGTGCTCTGGGAGGAGGTTTGCAGCTTTCCCTGGTGTTTTTCTGTGGATCCACATGAGAGGGACCAGAGGGGATTGTGCAGGAGCCCCTGGAATGGCTGGATGGGTCACAGTGGTTATTGAAGGCTGAGAGCTCCCTGGAATAGCAACTGCTGCTCTGACTCACCAGGATTTTAATCAGTCAGGCATTCTATTTATTTTCACTTTGGAGCTCTTAGATACACAAGAGAAGTCTTCTTCCCCCCCCTTAGACATGTTCACTTAGAGCAGCATTAAATGTGTTTTGAGGTTGGGGGGGCTGCTGAGTGCTACAATTGGGTTTTTTGAAGTCCCTTCTGACACGAACTGAAACTTGTCCTGCTGACAGCTCTGAGCAGTTTAAATCTCCACCCAGGCCTGGGCTACAGTAACAGGCCCTAAACTGCCTCAGCCAAAACCGGAACTGTCTGAATTTCAGTTCCATCTGAAACGTGTGCAGGCACAGAGGAGCCAGGGATGGAGGGCAGGGGTGCCCAGGCTCTGAAGGGCTTGTACAAATCATGATGGAATGGTTTGGGTTGGAAGGGACCTTGGAGTTCATCCACTTTCACTCCCTTCCACTATCCCAGGTTCTCTAAGTCCTGTCCAACCTGGCCTTGAATCCTTTAATTTAATTAATTTTTATATGTGTGTATATATATATATATATATGTGTGTGTGTGTGTATATATGTATATATATGTATATATAGCTATAGATATGGATATATCTAAAGTATGTCCCTGAAGTATATATGTACACATACATGCCTTTGGCCCCAAACCAGCTTTTTAATGTGATCCATCCATGTAACAAGTATAAGAAGTATAATTTTTTTTTTTTTCCTTTGGAAGAAGCTGCTCCTTGACAAGGTTTGGTGGCTTTGCACAAAGATTTTGTAGCTAATACCCTGTTTAGGTTCTTTTGGCTACAGACTTGGCACTTTTTGCCATACTCACTGACAGCTGGTAGGATTGGAAGGTCCCCAAAAGGTGTGTGGTGTTCTTCTCAGTTGACATTCCCTGCTCTAGTGATGCAGAAATTCCTGGCTCTTCCCAGCTGTTGCTTTGTTGTGGTGGTCAGAAAAGCAACATGGCTAAAAATGCTCCTTGTGTTTGATCAAACCAGCAGCAGCTGCAAAGGCAACCTGAGTTAGTGCTCTGTGCACAGAACTCCTCTCCATAAGGAAGTGGGAAACCTCACTGAGACAACATAATTTTTATCTTCTTCTTCTTTGCTTTCAAACTAAATGTCAGTGTGACACTGCTGCTGAATGGGTACAGTCAGATGAGAAGAAATCTCCATTCTGTGGAGTTGACTTAGGAAACCTTACATATATTTTAAAGCTCTTTCCCAAGTCTTTTTTGACCAAATGTATGCATTAACTGGAATTCTCCCAAAAGCCATTGTCCATGGGGATTGGGGCCAGGCACACCCAAGAGGATCCCATGTTATGGTGTGTGGGAATTGGGGCCAGGCACACCAAGCAGGATCCCATATTATGGTGTCCATGGGGACTGGAGCCAGGCACACCAAGCAGGATCCCATATTAAGGTGTCCATGGGGACTGGAGCCAGGCACACCAAGCAGGATCCCATATTATGGTGTCCAGGGGGATTGGAGCCAGGCACACCAAGCAGGATCCCATATTAAGGTGTCCATGGAGACTGGGGCCAGGCACACCAAGCAGGATCCCATATTATGGTGTGCTGGGGTATGGGGCCAGGCACACCAAGCAGGATCCCATATTATGGTGTCCATGGGGACTGGAGCCAGGCACACCAAGCAGGATCCCATATTAAGGTGTCCATGGGGATTGGGGCCAGGCACACCAAGCAGGATCCCATATGATGGTGTGTGGGAATTGGAGGCAGGCACACCAAGCAGGATCCCATATTAAGGTGTCCATGGGGACTGGAGCCAGGCACACCAAGCAGGATCCCATATTAAGGTGTCCATGGGGATTGGGGCCAGGCACACCCAGCAGGATCCCATATTAAGGTGTCCATGGGGATTGGGGCCAGGCACACCAAGCAGGATCCCATATTATGGTGTGTGGGAATTGGGGCCAGGCACACCAAGCAGGATCCCATATTATAGTGTGTGGGAATTGGAGGCAGGCACACCAAGCAGGATCCCATATTATGGTATCCAGGGGGATTGGGGCCAGGCACACCCAGCAGGATCCCATATTAAGGTGTCCATGGGGATTGGGGCCAGGCACACCAAGCAGGATCCCATATCATGGTGTCCATGGGGATTGGGGCCAGGCACACCAAGCAGGATCCCATATTATGGTGTGTGGGAATTGGGGCCAGGCACACCAAGCAGGATCCCATATCATGGTGTCCATGGGGATTGGGGCCAGGCACACCCAAGAGGATCCCATATTAAGGTGTCCATGGGGACTGGAGCCAGGCACACCAAGCAGGATCCCCTATTAAGGTGTGCTGGGGAGTGGTGCAGTGCTGGAAGGTGTTTGCATGGCTCCTGTCCAGCTCTGAGTTCCTCTCACAACCACTTCATGACACACAGAAATGCTTTTTTAAGATCCCTGCTCCAAACATCTTCCAGCTGAGATGGAAGAGCTGAAGAGGGATTTTAGAGAAGGAAGGGGGAGGTTTTAAAGGAGCAGAAAGCACGTGGTTGTCTCTTACATTAATAATTACATTAATAATGTTGGAGTATCTCATTAGTTCTGACTCCCTTCAAGTCTCAGGTGACCTTCTCCAGTATTTTAGTTTCTCCCACACGTTGGCTGAGGGAGGAGCTGCCACCAGAGCGGTGCCTTCAGAGCACAACTGAGACTGTTTGGCTTTCATTCTGTAAAAACACACTTTCTGTTTTACAGCAGTGGGAACTAACATTAGCTAACCCAAGGTGAGTAAACCCTTAGTGAAGATAAGGAGCAAACAGGTTTTAAGCTGGTATCAAAAGCCCATTGTGGGTTAGGAGTGCACTATCCACTCTTATCTCCTGCATCATTACCTGACTTCCCTTTTCTGCCTTGAAAATAACGAGCCCATCACACGTCCACAGAAAGAAGAAAGTCCAGGATATGGAAATCAAGAATTACAGCTGGCTGAGGGAGAGGACAAGCAGTTCTGGGTAGGACACAGGCAGCCTCCAGCTCAGGACCATGAAGCTCCCTGTGCTGTTTGTTTGTCTGTCCCCTGTGTCTGTACAGGAAGCTGTGCTCATCCTGGAGCTCACAAACAGGCAGGGGAACTGCAGCTCCAGAGTGTCTCACGTGGGTAAATCCTGCTCTTAGTGGGATTTGCTGCCCAGTCTCCCTTGTAGCTGGAGCTGTGGGGTGGCTCTGGGCAGAGTCTGAGTGCCTGGGTCTGAATTATGGGACTCAGGAGCTCTTTGCACCTCTCTTAGCCCCCTTCCACGTGCACAGAGATGAGTCAGGCCTGTTCAGTTCTGAATCACAGACTCACTGAGCCTGGAGAAGACCTCCAAGGGCATTCAGTCCAGCCTTCAACCAAACCCCACCATGCCCACTAAGCCATATCATGAAGTGCCTTGTCTGCTTGGTTTTTGAGCACCTCCAGGCATGGGGACTCCACCCTGGCAGCCCATTCCAATGCCTGACCAGCCTTCCAGTGAAGAAATTTTCCCAATATCCAACTTGAACCTCCCCTGACACAACTTGAGGCCATTTCCTTGTGTCCTGTCTCTTGTTTTCTGGGAGCAGAGCCCAACCCTCAATTGCCTTCAACCTCCTGTCAGGGAGCTGTAGAGGGCAATAAAAGTGCCCCTGAGCCTCCTTTTCTCCAGGCAGAACCTACACTTCAAAAACTATTTAAAAGTTCTGATTGCTTATTTTTAATCACAGCTTCTTCCCACCATGCTTTGCTGTACCCACCATAAAAATAGTTGGCATTTGACTTTTCCAAGGACTGAAAATTGTGCAGCAACAGTTAAACCAGGCTGGGCATGCAGGTTCTGGCCCTGCACAGCCCCACAGACCTGAGTCACACATTAAACTGCCTGAGCTCTGCCTGGCTGGAGCCGTTGCTCACAATTGCTGCCTCGGTCTCTTTGAGTCTGCAAGTGAGGCAGAGCTTTGTTGACTTTAATCTCGGTTATGTTTCCTTGTTATTCTTTGCCATTTTAGAGGGCAACAAGGACTTGCAGTTTTGTTTCTCCCCTCTCTCTATTCTCCTTTGACTCAGGCAAGGAGGGACTGGTAGAATTATGTATTTTTTGCTGATGGGGATTGGTTTGCCCTGAAGGACCTTGAAGGTGAGGAGAGGGCAAGGAGAGACAGAGTTAATGCAAGTCAGGAGAGAGTGAGGATAAAAATAACCCTGAACTTGTCAGTTTGGTCACTGGTGGCTGGGTTAGTCATCTGGCAGGCTCTGCTCCTGCTGCTCCAAGGGATTATTTTACAGCACTGAGAATTGAATAATTTCTGTAGAGGAGAGGGAGCGGGCCGGCCGTAATGAGTGGGATACTGTCATCAGCACTTCTTTTGCACAGCAGCTGTTCTCTGTTTGGCCTCTGAATGTGGTCATTGTTGACTTTCCTTGTATACCTGCCAGGTTGTTAGGTGACTCACAGCACCAAGGTTCATGCACTTGGCTCCCAAATGCCTCCCCTTTTCCTTGGTGGTCCTTCAGCCATGGAGCACCCACTCATTTTTTCATTTTCCTGATTCATCTCTGTTGCCAGGAGCCTGTTGGAGTAAATGTCCTGTTGTCCCAGGCAGCTGCTTAAGGTGGGGAAAAAAGGAAAGAAAAAAAGGGAAAGGGAAAGGAAAGGAAAAAGAGGAGAGAAGAGAAAGATTTGTGCAGATTGAAGCTGATGAGCCCCAGGGTGTGCTGCTGTAGTGGTGCTGATATCTGATTTTCTGGCTTCTGTTAAAATGTCCCTCCTTGTCCTATGCTGAGTTTGTGCTACTTAACTCCCCTATACATTGCCCAAGGTTTCTGAATTTCCATGGGAGGTTTAAGGGTGGAAATGTTCATTTTAAGGTTTTACACTGGTACAAGGAAGGGGTCTCTGCACTTAAGGGGCAACAGAGCACGTTCTAGTTTGTAAGGAGACAGCTGGTTTAACTTCTCCAGAATCCAAGATGAGTGGATCAGGGGCTACACCAAGGCTGTATTCCCCAGGGACTCATGCTGAAGGGAACTTCTCACTCTCCACATTGCAGATTTTCACCCCTGGCTGTCCCCATCCTGTCCCTCAGTGCTTTGCTTCCATGCTGGTTTATGATTCCCCCTTTCCATCCCCAGCTCTCTTCCACCTTCCCCTGTGCTGGGACTTGTTTGGAGCTCCATTTGTGTTCCTGGTCATTCACAGTCTGTGCTGATCCCCTCCCCAGGTCTGTTCCAGCACCATCACTGTCCTCTATCCAACACCAACTTCCATGGATCCTGCACTCTGTAAAGCTCCACTTCTGGTGGGCTTGAGCAAGGATTGCAGAAGTTGGTGGTGATGTAGAGGAAGGAAGGGAGTGAGGGAGGATCTGTGGGTGGGCAGGCTGGCTGCTGAGCCTGGCTTCATTGAGGGAGGATGAGGAATGGCTTTGAGGATGACTGAGCACAGGGAAAAAAAGGAATTAGCTGGGTTTATGGCCGTGCATGTGGTGTGAGAGCAGTGGCATTCCCCCCAGGTGCACTCTCAGAGAACTTTCTTATCTTCCCTTTTCCTGGGGATGAACATTCTTCCTGTTTAGTGATATGGGAGTTCCTTCTTCTCCTTGGTTTCACTGTTTATATTTAAGGGAATATACCAAGATTTCAATTTCTCTGAAACCTGTATGGTTGCATACTTTCAGTCATGAGAATGTTGAATATTCAGATCCTCAGTGATCCAAGTCAGAAATCGAGGACTGGTACTCCAGGGTTCTTCTCCAGCTCAGAATATGGGCAGGACCTTGATTTGAATTATTTATTAATGATGATACCTTCAGGAGCCTCCTGTTTCTCATGAGCTGTGAAGGATTTTGACAAGTGTTTTGTTCTTCTGTTCTTGCTCAGTGTCTCCCTGAAGCTGGGAAATGGCCGTGATGGGAATTGCATGTCAGGGAGCTCCTGATCCAGCAGTCAAGCACAAAAAGGAGCTCACAGCTGCTGAGGGGCTGAAGGAGACAGTGAGTGAAAAGCAGAGCAGTGTTTGCAAAGTAGAAGATTCAAAGAAGGCCATCTTTCACAGTCAGTGGAAAATCCTGAATGATGTAATCACCAGAGGAACAGCAAAAGAAGAAACAGAAGGAGGCTGTGCATCAATTTCTATTATTGCCCAAGCAGAATGTGAGTAGCAGGGCGGGCTGTGCTTCATTGAGGAAAAAGGAATGTGCAGAGAGGGATGAGATTTCACTCCCTCGGCGCTCCTGGAGAGCTGAGGCCACATCTATTTGTAATCCCAAGTGGGGTGGAGCTGATGACACATCCCAGACTCTATTTAGGAAGCTCATGAAATCTCCTACTAATGTGGCAGCATCCACTGAATAAAGCATAAATAACAGACCAGCATGAGACCTGTGCACCCCAGCCAGGTCTGTGTCCTGTGGGGCACCTGTTCTTAGCTGACTTCTGAAAGGGGTTTAAAAGAGGGGATAAAGAGGAGGAAACCAAAGTAAAGCTGTCATGTGGGAAAGAGCTGGGGGATCAGGAGATGGCTGGGAAGCCTCCTAATTGTGGGGGAGGAAGAATGCAGCGTGGGTGGTGTGACATGACTGTGCACTGATTGTCTGGATCACTCATTTAGCACAGTGGTAGAGCTGTTTGAGTCCACTTGTTACTAGGAGAGACTTTCCCTGCTTTAAGACAAGTGATGATCCTGGTTGTTTTTTCCCCACAGGTGAAAACAGTCAGGAGTTCAGCCCCACTTTATCAGAGAGATCCTTTATTGCTCACAGTAAACGTTACAGGTGAGAGACTTCCTAATACAAACACCCCTCTTCACTGCTGTTTATTGACTCTCCGTGTTCCAAATCACCCTGGCTCTCTGCACTTAAAATGTTTTTCCAAAAGCCCTCCTGTTGGAATTAGCTCTTCAGGCTGAGGCCTGGTAAGAATGTGTCTTTCCCAAACCATCTTCCCATCAGGAAAAAATACAAGTTTAGGCACAAACCACTTGAAACACCTTGCATAGTGTTACTGGCAATGCCTGCAGATTTACTTCCCTTGTAGCCTTCTGGCTATTTCTGGATGGTCAAATTTGTTTTGAAATTACTGATTTTTTTTTAAAGTTCATAGGCTTGATGTAGAAGGATCCAAGGAGAAATTTTCAGTCTTTTTTAACTGAACTGTGTTGATGCTTTTGAAACTGTTACACCATCTGCTGAAAAGCTGTGTGAAACCTGGGCTGCTGCTAGAAGGAGCCCTCAGAAAAGGGAACAGCTTAATTTCTTGGAAGGATAAAAGGGGATGAGAACCTTTGCTTAATGACAGCATCAACAACAGAAGTTGTGAACACAGAGAAACTGGAAGTGGTAAAAGGGACAGTGACATTTGTGATGGACAAGTAGAAGCCTGGGAATTGCTTTTCTGGTTCTTCATGAAGAATGTCTTCCTGTTTGGGCTCATCCTGGAGCTCTCTTACACACTGGAGCCCTGTCAGGCAGCCCCAGCACCTGCAATGGCTCACTGGGGTACAGAATTAGGTGCTGCCTGTTTGCTGGTGGCTTCAGACACCTTGTGGGGTGTGAGGTTTGACACTGCTCAGTGGCTTTAGGATGTGGTCCTATGGACTGTCAAAGTGCAAAGTCACCCATTTCTGTGGGGTTTTATGTGGGATCTGGGGTTTTCTGGGATGCACACCAGCTGTGAATTCAGGCTCAAGGTACTGTGCTGATGCCATCAGCCAGAATTCTACTTATGACATCTTTGAGCACTAAAATAGGAAAAGATGGAGGGAGTGGCTGTGCCCTGCATCACTGATCAGGAAAGGCAGAGAAATGTATCAGAACTGTTCTGCATCAATGGAACAATTGCTTCATTTGAAGATCAAAAATCTTGTTTTCTCTTAGAGCTTAATTTTAAAAATCTAGCTGCTATGATTGGTATTGAATCATAGAATCACAAATGGTTTGAGTTGAAAGGAGACCATCTCTTTCTGACCCTCAGTAACTGCAGGCAAATATTCCTCTTGAAAGTTCATCTCTTTGTGCAGACCCCAGCTGGAGTGTTGTGTATATCTGTACACATTCTTAGACATCATGTTGTAGTTTTGGGCTTTACAAGCCAGCACATTTTGGCTTTTTGAAGCTGTTTTATTTGAGTGCTCTTAGTCATCCCTCTTCTCTGTGCAAAGCTTTTTTCCTTCAAATTAGAGCAGGCATTGATATTATGAAAACATTCATTAATTTTCATAAATTTTAAAATAGACTGCATTTATCCATCATCTCTGTGTTCACTAGAAATCAACCACAAACTGTCTCAGAGCAGCGTGGAGACATGCAGTGCCTTCCCCTCTACTTTGCTATGTTCAGAAAAGAGACATAAAAGAAAGCTGGGGAAGGACTTGGAGTGACAGGACACAGAGATTGGCTTCCCCCAGCCAGAGGGCAGGGTTAGGTGGGATATTGGGCAGGAATTGTTCCTGGCAGGGTGGGCAGGCCCTGGCACAGGTGCCCAGAGCAGCTGGGGCTGCCCCTGCATCCCTGGCAGTGTCCAAGGCCAGGCTGGACACTGGGGCTTGGAGCAGCCTGGGACAGTGGGAGGTGTCCCTGCCATGGCAGGGGTGGCACTGGGTGGGTTTTAAGGTCCCTTCCAACCCAAACCATTCTGTGACTGTACATTCCAGCCTTGTTCTTCCAGAATTTGTAAACCCTGGGTCACTTGAATGTTTTGCCTCCCCCACACCCCGACATTTCTTTTGTACAATCCCAGAGGTGCTGCTGCTGGGCCTTGATCTTGAACTTACCTCTACTAGAAGTCAAGAAATTGTGTTTTAGCTCTCTGTTGAGTTAGCAGAGTTGCTAATTTGCCCTCTGTGGGTTGGAGGGGCCCTGTGAGCTGTCCCATCTCAGAGCCCTGCTGTGCTCTGCCTTCCAGCAGCCGCTCGGACAGCCTCGATCACATCCCCAACAATGTGGCCCACGCCACGGAGGGCAGGATGGCACCCACCTGGAGAGGGAGGCACCGGGGCAGGGCCAGGAAGAAAAGGCACAAGAAAAGATCCAAGCTGAAAGGACAACCTGTGGCTGCTGGCAGGAGAAGTCCAAGAACTCCAGAACAGGAGAGCTGCACCCCAATTCCTGTCCAGGTAAGAATCTTCCACCTTCCTTTTGTACTGTCCCTGCAAACTCCTAACAGCTCTTGGGTGAATTTTGGTGGCTATACTGAGGTTCTTGCTCAGCTGTTTGGTTTTGTTTTCTAGGAGGATGAATCCCACCAAAGCACTCTTTACAGAAACAGTTTTTGGGTTCCTGAATTTAACAAGGACTTGGGCTATGATCCACTGCCTTTTGAGAAGCCTGCCCATGCCCCTTTGTCTATGGGCAAACTCCATTCCCCGAGGAGCCAGTACAAAACTGAACTGCACAAGCTGATCAGCCCTATTCAGTGCCTTAATCATGTTTGGAAACAGAGGGACACTGTTCCCCAGCCTGAGACTCTCCATCCTTTTCCCTACAACATCCTTCCCCCCCATTTCCCACATGTGGACAATCCTCTCCGTGCCATGAAGCAGAATGCTCTGGACACATACTTCCATGGTGACCTCAACTATCAAGACAGTCACTTATCTGGCCTAAACTTAGAATATAATTTCACCAAATGCATCAACCAATCTGTGCAAACTAGTTCAGACAAGCTTTCTGTGGAAGAATATTTGGTAGATGCCTTGAAGGGGAGTGTGAGTTTTGGTGAACCACAAAATTTAGCCAGCCTGGCCAAGACGTGGAGAGGAGGTGGGCTGGAGCTGAAGGAACAATTCCATGAAGCAAGTGAGAATGAAGGCGTGCTGCTGAACGAGGTGATCTGAGCCACTCTGGGGTGTGGGAGGCTGAGCTTCTCCTGGGCTTTGGGAGAGGGGTAATCTGCATCCATGTGCTTGCTGCTAAAACTGTGATTTCTGACTGGTTCTGGATCTGGTTGAAGCTGCCAGATAACCATGCAGGGTTGTTTTCTGCAGGAATTAAAGCCCTGCCTGTCTCAGACTGCTGGCTCCATGCTGTGCTCAGTCACCAGACATGCAGGCCTGGCTCTGAGCAGTGGTTCTGTGCTTAGTCAGTCTTCAGCCATGTCTCTGTTTGCTGGGGAAGAGCCCAGTCTGTTCAGCCAGGCTGCACTATTGATTGCCTCTGGAGGAGCTGGAGTGTGACAGAAACCAGGGCTGGGTAGAAGGGGAGGTACAGGAGTGCAGTTTGTGCCTCTGCTGGGACCAGCAGCTCCTGCAGCATCCCACAGGGCCTGGGCACAGAAATCATTCAAATCCAAGGGACATGATTCATTTCTTCTGAATTCAGTTCTCTCTCAACACCCTAAAGTCCTCCTGGAGGACTTCCCTGGGGTCAATGTGACCCTGTCATTATGGTCTGTGCAGTTCAAGGTGTCCCTTACCTGCCTGACTGTATTCACACTGGCACCTGAGGCACAGTCTCCATCTACTGACTGCAGAAAAGCTTCCACAGTGACAGAAAAGCATTTAGTCACAGGAATCTGGGTGAGTTGTAGGATTCAGCTTTGTAGTTATGTCCTGCATGAGAAGGGAGGAACACAGAGCTCCAGAGCATCCAAATCCTGGTGGCCTTTACAGCAGTGGAGTGCACTCAGTTAGATCCAACAGAGCCCACAGAAATCAGGTGGGTTCATCCTGTAGGGTTTCATCTCAAGCCTGTGACAGAAGTAATCTTGTACTGAGATATCTGGAGAGGTGCTGTGTTATCTGTCCTTTTGCTACTTCTGAGAATGTTGATCTCCATGCAGCTCAACATTTAAATGTCTCTTTTGTTGCTTCATTTTGTTTTCTGCTTGGACTTGCAGAAGCTGAAGCCGGTGGATTACGAGTACCGAGAGGAGGTTCACTGGACCAAGTGCCACGGCTCCTTGGGCATTGGCTCTTTTGGGGAGGTGTACAAGATAGAGGACAAGCAGACAGGATTCCAGTGTGCTGCCAAGAAGGTAATTCTGTGTGAGAGAAGGACACAAGACAGCACATGGAGAGAAATCTCTTCCCTCTTTGGGGCCTTGTACAGTCACAGTGAGTGGTGATGTTGTGTCCAAGGAAAAGCTCAGGGGGATGGCAGACAGAGAAGCAGCTGGAGGACTTGTATGTGCACAGGGGCCAAGATCAGCAGCTAGAAAAAAGCTCATTTGGCTTTAAAGTGTGCTGAAAAGCAAGAGTAGAGCTTTCTGAATGATTGTGAGTGACTGCAGGGGAGCAACAGCTGCGTGGGTTGTCTGTTATCTGACTATTCTTATCTCAAACCATGTCTGGTGTAAGTGGTTACATGGCAGGTATTTATTTCCCTGTTGAACAAGGAATAAAGTAGGAAAAACCCAAGGCAGTCAGTAGGATCTGAAAACAGAGCTTTCATCTCCTGAGTGTCAGCTGCAGTGCTGGCACATTGTTCTGAGGTGATGCTGCTCCAGATGCAGCAAAGGATGTGTGTTTTTCCAGAAGCTGGCACCATGATCTGTTCTACTCCAGGGTATGCCATTGTCACATGATGTAGGAAGTGTGTGGAATATAACTTGGAGCAGGGCATTGATTTGTGGGCTGCTGTGGGGCCTCAGGGGTGCAGACAGAGGAATAATGCAAGGAGATGAGGAAAATGTGAACTATTTTATTTGAACTTACACTTGAATACTTTCATCAACCCTGTGAACTGATGTTTCTCACATTACTTCACTAGAAAACTTTGTGTGGGAAGTGTTTGCCTTGAGTACAAAAATATTATGTGCAAAAAGAACCATAACTTTCATTTTCCAGTTTAAAATCTTCATTTTTTCCCCATTTACACTGGGCCCAGCTTGCTGTGCTCCCTGTGGAAAGATGTAAGAGGCAAGACATGTCAGGGTGTGTATTTATTTAACCATTTCATAACCATTCAGTTGTCAGCTATAGAAACAAACATCTCTCAAGCATGTAGAAAATTAATTCCTGTTCTGCATCCTCACAGTTCAGGTGTGAAATCTTGTGGTGACACAACCAGATTGTTTCCTGTCAGTGTGTAGCTATTTAAATGTATTATCCATTTGGCAAATCCACAGTCTTGGGAGGAATAGCTGTTCCTTGTGGGGTGTATTTTCAGGAAGGAAGATGGTTGTGCTGAAAAGGGAAACATGAAAGTAGGAGAAGCTGAAGTCTTTCAAAATGTCATTTCCCCCCCACCTAATTACTGAAGGATAAATGATGCTTCTTTATATCAGAAATGCATCTTGTTAGATCACACTCTGAAAGCAGAGAGTTCTAATATGCAAATTGGACACTTCTCTATGCTCTGTTTAATTTTCCATGAATAGCTGTCTGCAGTTCCTGCTGCCTCCCCTGCTCCCTACCTCACCTTCTTTCACCAGACTTGGTGCTGGAAGCACCTGCTCTCCAAATTCTTGAGATGAAAGAAAACCAGCTATAGCTGGATTGCTGACAGAGAAGAAACATGATGCATCTTTTTCCCACCAGAATCTTCATGACTCATGTTTTCCTTCTGGACTTCAGCAAATTCTTGTTTTATTTAGTTTGGCTGAACTTACTGAATGAAGTTTTTCTTTAACCATTTGCAGGATGAGCACCTCCTAACAAGGTGATCATGCAGATCACTGCTTGTGGACATATTTTGTATTCCCTCCTGTTTTGGGGGAGTTGAATTTTTGCCAAGTTTTGCACCATCCCCAGGGTTTGGTTTTTTTCCCCTCAGTTGTCAAAATTATCTTTTTACTGAGACAGAAATTACCTTCCTACCTGTCATCTGGAGTTATTGCAAGCTGGCATCTCTTGTGATGAATTTTCACTTCCCTTAAGCATTGAGGGTTCATCATCCCGAGCGTTCCCACTTCTTGCTGCGCTCCCGAATTCTATTCGGGAAGATCACAAAATTAAGTTTGGAAAAGACCCTCAAGCCCAGTTAACCCATCTCTGCTGTCCCACAGCCACCAGAGAGGGGCAGTTGTGTGAGGATCCACCCCAGGATGGCTCAGTTCTCCCTGTTCCTGCAGGTGCAGCTGGAACATTTCCGTGCCGAGGAGCTGACGACGTGCGCGGCCGTGAGCAGCCCGAGCGTGGTGCCCCTGTACGGTGCTGTCAAGGAGGGTCCCTGGGTCACCATCTTCATGAAGCTCATGGAGGGTGAGCAGGGCACCATGGCACTGCCCAGTGCACGTTGATCTCCTTTTCCTCCTGCCAAAAAAGGAATCTGTTAGTTCCTCAGTGCATCCAGGGTATTCCTGATGTGAATTCCCCAGTGGGTTGGGATGGGTGTGTGTAAAACCTGCTGTGGGGGGAATGATTCCCAGTCCTGCCTTATTCCAGTCCCTTTTTCACAGTAAGACACAGTTGGGGCTGGTTTGTGCTTCCTGGTGGTTTTCAGGACACCAATGGGGCTCATTGCCTTGGCTGTCTGAGCAAACCTCAGTGATTCCATTGCCTGGTGCTCTTTTTCTGGCCAGAACCATGGGAAACAGGCTGTGAAGAATGAGTGGTGGTCAGTAACACCCAGAAATGCCTGTTCTGATCACAGAGCACTTGCTTTTGCTCCAAAGCAGCCCTGTTAAACTGACACTAAGCAAAAAAACCCATATGAATAAGGCCTGTTTTGTGAGCAGCAAAAACTCTGGGTATAAACAAAAGGAACTGAGCCATGCGTGGAAGATAAGTGCTATCAGATGTGGAAAATCTCATTTTTTCAATGGAAACCACCAGGAATGCTAATGATGCTGGGGAGAATTTAAGCATAAGATAACATGGACTCCCTGGATTCCTTCCTAGGTGGCTCATTAGGGCAGCTCATTAAACAGAGTGGCTGCCTGCCAGAGGACAGAGCCCTCAGCTACCTGGGCCAGGTGTTAGAGGGTCTGGAGTATCTTCATGCTCAGAACATTCTCCATGGAGATGTCAAAGGTAGGAAAGTGTTTGAAGTACCTTGTTCTTCCCTTTTCTTAAAAGAAGCAAACTGCTTGGAGATTAAATTATTAATTTATTACTTACTTAAGTTATGGGATCTACTTACTAGATTTTCAGATCTATGTTTGAAATTAGAGTTTCCCTTGGTTCTAGACTGCTGGCAATATCATATTTGTCACCTCTTCTTGTCACCCCATGGGTCTGCCAAGCTGCTTGCCCAGGCTGGCCCACGACTGGGCTACAAGAATCTCCAGGGCAGGTAATTGATAGTTTATAAGAGATAATTACAGCTCTGTACTTGCTTAAGCCAGTGACAGGAGAAAGAAATCCTTTAGGCTTAGAAAACTCTGGTTCTGTGTGCTTCTGAGTGTTTTTCTCATCTCCTGGTGCAGAGGAGACTAATGGAACCCTTCTCTTGGCAGCTGAGAACGTGCTGCTGTCAGCTGATGGGAGCAGGGCCCTCCTGTGTGACTTTGGCCACTCTGCTCACCTGCACCCAGATGGGCTGGGAAAGTGCTTGGTCACAGGTGAGGCTTTGCTGCTGCTCTTCTGAGGAATTGCCCTTCTGACTCATCCTCTCTCATGAACATTTACATGTGGCTGATTTGCAAGCAACTGCTCAGGATGTCTCATTTATTGGTATTACTGTGACAGCCAAAATGACCTGAAATTTGGGAGGTGATGGTCTTTATCTCCCAGGCTAGAAGGGTTTTTGTAAGATTATGTCAGCATGCTGCATTCTGTGTTTTGTCCCTGCAAGAAACCACACTGAAACTTTAAAATGCTCAAACTCAAACTTTCTGTGTAAACTCGCTAAATAGTGAGGAAGAGTCCTGATCTTCACTAAAGAAAATTCTTTTTGTTTGGCCAATTAAACTTAACCATGCTTCTTCATGCAGCTGTTGAAAGAGAAGGGTGTTTTCTAAAGTCAAGCTCATGTTTTGCCTCCCAGATTTGCTTGCAAGGGAAGTTGAATCCCTATTCTGTGTATAAGGGATGGCTCTGAGAGGGAATAGTTTCTGAGAATACACAATGCTGCTTTTTGGGTTAAGGTGGAGCCCTTCCACTATGGAGAAAAGCTGGGGGAGCTCAGATTGTTCAGCCTGGAGAAGAGATGGCTCAGAGGAGACCTCAGAGCCCCTTCCAATGCCTAAAGGGATTCCAAGAGAGCTGCAGAGGGACTTGGGACAATAGCCTGGAAAGACAGGGCAAGAGGAATGGCTTCCCACTGCCAGAGGGAAGAGTCAAATGGGTATTGGGCAGGAATTGTTCCCTGGGAGGGTGGGCAGGCCCTGGCACAGGGTGCCCAGAGCAGCTGGGGCTGCCCCTGGATCCCTGGCAGTGCCCAAGGCCAGGTGGGACGGGGCTTGGAGCAGCCTGGGACAGTGGGAGGTGTCCCTGCCATGGCAGGGGTGGCACTGAACGAACTTTGTGGTCCCTTCCCACCCAAACCACTCCATCCTACAAAGCTGCCATGTCTCACTTCAGCTGAAAAGAGAAGCACTCTGCCTTAGGCCTCCTCCAAGTGGCACTGGAGCAGTTCTCTTGCCTGCTTGCACTGAGTTTTCTCCTGGCTGTTTTAGGGAACTACGTGCCTGGCACAGAGACCCACATGGCCCCCGAGGTGGTGATGGGCAAGCGCTGTGACTCCAAGGTGGACGTGTGGAGCAGCTGCTGCATGATGCTGCACATGCTCAATGGCTGCCACCCCTGGACCCAGTACTACAACCACCCTCTCTGCCTGAAGGTGAGTGACCCAGCCTCTGTGCAGCTGAGCTGCCTGAGCCTGCTACTGCTGGCCAGGGAGCACTCACCTGGGGCTGGAGGGCTGGGAGCCAGTGACAGTGTGGGGAAGGATGGAAGTTTGACAAGAAAGTCTCACAGATGCTTAGCAGAAAGATTTTTGAATGTAGAGTCTGATGAAGGAATAGAGATGGAAGCAAGTTTTGATATAGAAGAAAAGAATTGCTGAGCCAGTCTCACTGGATACCCTTTGCTTCCTTGGTTATGTTAGTTAGAAAGGGTTTTTATGACTTAGAGCAAAGGATAAACCCACCCCAAACAAGAAGATGTTTTTACCAAGCACAAAGATAACACAGGCAAACAAGTCAGCAAAGTGGCAAGTAGAAAAAAGGTCTCCGAATTTTCCACTGCAAGAAAACTGAAAAACAACTTCTGGCTTAAACTGTGATGTACTGACTTTGAGTGATTGGAGAACAGTAACATGAATATGGTAATTATAGTAGTTATGATAGGCTATAGATAATAGTTAAGGTATAGATTGGTTCTACTGTATGAAGATGCCCAGCAAAGAAAAGTATAGAATGCATTGTGACCAAAAGAAAAGTATAGAATGCATTGTGACCAAAAGAAAAGTATAGAATGCATTGTGACCAAAAGAAAAGTATAGAATGCAGGGTAACCCAAACCAAAGGGTGTCCAGGCCTGCCTGCAGCTGGAGCTGACAGCTGTGGGCACAGCTCTGTCACCCGCGACCCTGGGCTGCTGTAACCTCTTGGGTACAATAAACTGCATTTTGGATACAATAAACTGCATTTTGGATACAATAAACTGCATTTTGGAGAGCCTCCTGGAGTCCTGTATCTCTCATTTAGGCTCTTACATGACAAGATACCAGCCTTGCTCTGGGAGCTGAGCATTCCCTGGGCTTGCTCTGCTTGGGCTGTTCTTCCATGCCCTGCTCATGACTTGGGTGTGACTTTTGAGCCATTCAGCTGTAATAAAATTACTGTTCAGCTCTCACTTAATGCTTTCATTTCAGTTGGAAACACTGTTGGGGTGGGAAGAACCTTCCTGAAATCAAATTAAGCCTCTCTGGTGTAACCTCTTTCACTTCCTGTTTGTTACACAGATCGCTAAAGAGCCGCCTCCTCTGAGGGAAATTCCACCTTCCTGCAATCCTCTCACTGCTGAGATTATTAAACTGGGGCTGGAGAAGGAGCCTCTGCAGAGGGCATCTGCATCAGAGCTCAAAACCAAGACCACTGTGGCACTTGAGGAAGGTAGAAATGTCCTGATGTAACTGATGCAGCTGAACCTCCATATTCCCACTGGGAGAGCTGCTGGTGCTGCTCCTTTTGGAAGGAGCAGTCTGTTTTATTGTCCAGTATATCATTTTCACAGTATTGGTGCATGTTTTGGGTTGATGGCTTTTGCCTGCAGCTGAGTGTTTGTCACCCAAATAAATGATTTCCTGTGTGCTGTCACATGCCCTTCTTCCTTCTCTGCTGGAGGAAGGGAGCTCTCTGTGGGTTTGTTGAGGTGCTCTCCTGGGCTCCTGTCAGCTGAAGCATGTGTGCAGCACAACTGCAAGCAGGGCTTTATTTACTTGTGGTTCAGTCTTACCCCTGACACATCACTGATTTATCTCAACTTAATCCTGCTGAGTGGTTCTGTAATACAGTAAGAATTTGTGGAGGTGATCTGGTTTTATTTTATGAAGAAGCTGGGCATTTTACAGCAAATGCACTTCAAAAATTCTTACAGCAAAGGAAAACTCATACCTCTTTTATTGCTTTATTTGATAATGTTTGTATCTTTTTCTTTTTTTTTTTGTAGTGGGAGGTGTGAGAAGCCCCTGGAAAAGTGAATACAGAGAGCCCAGACATTTATCTTTGAACAAAGAAAACAGTGCACAGACATCCCTGTCCCCCACAGTGAGCCCAGTTTCTGAGATTGGTTCTGACCCAAAACTGTCAGTCAAAGTTTCCTGTGGCAGCCCACTCCTACCACCTCCATCTCTGGAGCAAACAGAGGAGGTTGAGGGACCTCACTGGAATGAGGGCAAGGAGTTACCTGAGACCTGTGATCCCCCACCCCTCTCCTCAACTCCTCTGCCCCTCAAGAGCTGCAGCCACGTGGAAAGAGCCACAACCATTTCAGAGCAAGAACTTCAGCAGCTGGAAATTGGTGAGCACTGGGCTGGGGGAGGAATTCAGCTCTTTTTGCTGGAGAGTAGGATAAAAATACAGCTGCTTTCTCTTGGCTTGTTGACAGTTATTTTTGGGTTTTCAGCTTGGATGTCATTTTGCTCATAGTTCCTTTCTCGTTACACAAATTGCTCAACCTTCCTTCAAACTACCAAAACTAATGGTTCTTAACCAATTAAATGTGCCACAAAGGGAGTGAACAGAATTTCCTTCCTCCTGAACAGGGGGGAACCTTCTGAGAGAGGTGCAGGAGCCTCTTGGAAAGCAGCCTGTTTCAAACTTGTGCTTGTTTGCACTGTGTAAACAGTGTCAGAATTCCAACTTCATCTGCAATTCTAGGTTCAAACTTTTTTTTTTTTTTTAATTGAGGTAATAAAGGAATGGCAGATGTCAAGCAAAGCAGTGCAGTTAAAATCAGCCTGCAACTCTTTAGTTCTGGGCATTGGAAAACCTACAGCCATCAGCCAAGGAATTTGGTTACAACTGCAAAGCAGAGTTTGAAAACTAGCAGTAAATTCAGTGTGGAAATCAGTGATTTTTCCAGCTCCATTGCCCCAATATAACTCTAGATTTCACTTTTTTTTTTCTCCCATATTTCCTAGTCTTTTTGAGTGAATTGAAAGAAATTAGGAACAGAGTGGTTTGAATTGTAACTGTGTCAGAAAACTGAAGAATTTTAGGGGTTGCTGATGGGAGGCTTCTTTCTCAAATGGCTTTGGGCCTTAGCAGCATTGTAAGAGCTGGTTATGTTTGGGATATCTGGATATTATCAGGAATATTTGCAGTATTTGTAAGTACTTGTATCCAGATAAGGGAGTACAAACCTCCAGATACTTGTGAGAGTTGAGTACATGAGTTTGACTTTTCCCTGATAATGTGGATGGATCTAAAGTGATATCTCCCAGGAGACATAAAGGCAAGAACTGGTGAATTTAGGATGCTATTTTGCATGTTGCTGCACAATCCATCCCCTCTTGGCCCAGTTTCCCTGTGTCACAGTGGTCTCTGCATGGCAGAGCTGTGTGTTGGGCTCTGCTGGCACCACTATGAAATAAATATTAAATATTGCTGAAGAAGCTTTGGGTATTAGTGGCAGAGCTGTGATTAGAGCAGGGAGACATGGAGTGAAACACTGGAAATGTCCCCCCGAAACACTGGAAATGTCTCCCTTCTCCTCCTTTTGCTACAGAACTGTTTCTGAACAGCCTTTCCCAGCCTTACTCTCTGGAAGAGCAGGAGCAAATGCTTTCATGCCTCAGCATTGACAGCCCCTTTGTGTCAGATGCCAGTGAGAAGGTGAGTGGGGATGGGTGGGGGGTGGCTGGTTGGCACCCTTGGCAAAACTGGAAACTGTGACCAATGAAAATCTGGAATTTCTCAGCTTTGCTGCTGCTTTCTGACACCCAGTTTGCTGGGAAGAAAGCTTTGCTCATGCCCAGTGGGGTGTTGAGGGTTGTAGCTGTGCTTTGGTTACCTGTCCAGCATGGATCCTGTCCTCCAGAGGCTCTCCTGTGCTGGATCCTCACCTGAAGCTTCAGGAGTGTGGAGACAGAGAATCTCAGCTGCCTCAAGCCTGTCTGTGCAGGGGAAGCAGTGATGGAAGTGGGAGCTGCACCAAGCAGCTGTGCAGGGCCTCCTCCTGGCCATGACCACCAGTGAGAGGGTTAGGGAAAGACCAGGAGAGTAGGACAGGAAAACAGAGACCCAAATAGTGGATATTCATTCCCAGATCTATTCTCCATGCATTTATTTTAACCCATTGATAGTCATGAATACATAGTCCTGGTTATTTACCAATTTCAGTTAGGTTGGTTTGCTCTCTCTGGTGTTCCTAAGGTGGGGAATAGCAGTGAGGAACACTGAACAGGCCTTGTTGGACCAGGGAAGGACAAAAGAACTTAAATCACAGTTTTCAAAGACATTGAGTCCCCAGTTTGTGCATCCTGGCATCTGCAGGAGTCAGTTCTGATTGGGAGCAGCATTGTGTCCCATTTCTGTCTCTCTTCTCAGTCTTCCAGTGCTTTTTGAGGAGGGCTGAGGGAGTTGTGCACAGCTCAGCTGTTGACACACACAGTGTGCAGTGTGGGATCTGACTCTGCTTGGTTTTTCCCTCTAACACCTACACCATACCTGTAACTTGGTTTTGACTGGTTCAGACCTCTGTGCTGGTGTCAGATTGACTGGGCCAATACAACAGTGCAGCAGCACAGGGCCTATGGTTGGTTTTGTACAGTGAATTGGTTTTCCTGGGTGTTTCTAATGTCAGTAAGTGACAAATATTTTAACTGATGTTTTTAATTCTCCTGCCAGTCAGTACAACCCCTCTTGTCTCACTCAGCTTTTCAGCTCATTATTGATTTAACTTTTGAGAATATCTGGTAATGTCTGCACACTGTTGCACTGCTATCCATTCCCTTTCCCAGAGGGTACATAAATGTTGTCTGAGGCCCAGCCTTAAATCCCTGTGGATTTCCACCTTTTTTCTCCTGACCTTATTTCAATGCTCATCTCCTGCCAGCTCATTTTCTTTCAGAACCTTAGACAAACTTGTGCTTATTCCTACAGAACTCCATGAAGGCTTCTCAGAGCTTGAGGGACACCATGAGCTCTGGGATCCATTCCTGGAACAGCCAGGCAGAGGGGCAGAGCTGCAGCTGGAACAACCTGCTGAGCCGCAGCCGGCACACGGACACCCCCAGCTGCTTCAACGGTGGGTCTGCCCTCCCACAGCAGGGAGAAATGGCCAGAAATCACCTTCTCACTACCTAGACAAGCTGGATGTGGAGTTTTTGAACTCTTTTTGTCCTTCAGTTGCTGTGGCAGCACAGACTCCCCTAAAGATGGGTTTTGAGGAGGCCCAGTCTGCCCCAGTCACAGATGGGTCTGTGCAGTAAAATCCAGGGAAGTTTCTGAGCACACACAGAGCCTGTGTGCCCTGGTTCATGCAGCCTCCATGTGCAAGGAATGTTTTATAACCACAAACATCTACCCAGAATTTTGAGGGCAGATTGTGCAAATTAATCCATCCCTTCAGCTGCTTTCTTGCTAAATGCAGCTCTGCTCTGTGAGTCATTGCTGTCTGCAGCAAGCTCCATGCTCAGTGAAAGACCTACAGAAATGAAATCCTTAATGACAAAAATGAGCTTTTCCCCATGTGTGTGCCTTGTCAGTCAGTTTGCTGTGGGCTCTGAGGTCCTTGTGGCTCAGCAGAACTTAAAGAACCTCTTGTGCATTCCAGGAGTGAAAATCCAGATCCAGTTGCTAAGTGGAGAAAATTTGCACATCAGAGATTTCCACAGGACAAAGGTGGGAGACATTGCCACGGGGATAAGCAGCCAGGTGAGACACAGACTGGAGTTCAGTGCATCATTTGAGGAATGATTTCTTCCCTACTGCAGCCTCATAACCCCTGAATGCCAGAGAGACCCAGGAGTAGTTCAGGGATCCTTAGGACACCTGTAGAAGCAGAGCCTCAGTGCTGCTGTTTTGAGTGTGGTACCAGAGGATGTTTTCTGAATCACAGAATCATTAAGGTGGGAAAAGACCTCCAAGATTATCAAATCCAACCTTTGACCAAATCCCACCAGGCCCACCAAACCATATTTCCAAGTGCCACATCTACTCATTTTCTTGAACCTTTTCAGGGATGGTGATTCCAGCACTGCCCTGGGCAGCCTATTCCAATGCTATCCACTCTTGCAGTGAATAAATTTCCCCTAATATCCAGCCTAAACCTAGTACCAAACCTGAATTGTAAGCCAGTGCCAATTGTCAGAGTGAGCACAGGGATCTATATCTTAGAATATCAATATTCTGTGCTGCAGCTTAAAAAATCCTTCTCCTCAATTATAAACTCTTTCCCCTCTCCCTGAAGAATCATATATAGCTTTTTCATCATGAGCAGTAGCATCAGCTCAGGGAGATGAGCTCTGTTTGGCTGGGGTGCTTCCAGCTTGTTCTGTTGGAGCTGTTGGCACACTCCTGTGAACCTCACTGTGGGCTGCTTTGGCTGTTCCTGAAAGAAACTCTGGAGAGTCTGTGGGACTGTGACTCATCTCAGTGTAAAATGGGATCATCTCTAAAAGATGTTGCACCAATCTAAAAAATGTTCCAGTGGTGCTGGTTCTCTCTAGCCTCTGTTCTTGTGAACATCACAAAGCAAAATACCTGCAGAGGAGCTCAGGTGCCCAAACGTGGGCAGCTCAAGACCCCCCAGCCATGGCCCAGAGCTCAGGGAGGCACTTTGCTGTGGGGGTACCAGTTGTTGGTTTTTCTGGGTCTGGATTGAAGGCACTTGAGACAATAATTCATGTTTGGACTCAGGTGTTTATTATTTCTTATCAGTAAAACAGTCTCACTACTGTGAGTTCTGCAGCTTTTCATTAGAAGGCACAAAATGGCCAACAATCTCTTGTTACAAGGTCTTTTAAGACTAAATTATCCAATTAAGAGCTGACACCTAGATTATTTTCCCTTTTAACCCAATAACTGATCCCAATATGGACTTTTCTGCTCAATTACAAAATGCCACCCAAACCCATGGAGAAGAAGGAGAAGAAGCATGAAGAAGAAACCCAGGACAACACCCTGTGCCCTCCATCTTGCTTCCATCCACTACACACTAAAAATCCCAAAACCTCAATTTCTCACCAAGTGATGCACCTACACTGCTCTCTATAATCTATTCCACACTTTTTTGGATTCCAGTCTATCTTGAAGTCTGGGAAACTTTCTCCATGAGTGAGGGTCAAAGTCAGTGCTCCCCTGGTGTGACCGTGTTCACAGGGGTCTTAGGATGAGGGAAGAGACAAGAATGTTGACTCCATGATTCAGAAGGCTGATTTATTATTTTATGATATATATTATATTAAAACTACACTAAAAGAATAGAAGAAAAGGTTTCATCAGAAGGCTGGCTAAGAATTGAAAAAGTAGGAATGATAACAAAGACTTGTGACAGACTGAGACAGTCTGGACAGCTGGGCTGTGATTGGCCATTAATTAGAAACAACCACATGAGCCCAATCCCAGCTGCACCTGTTGCATTCCACAGCAGCAGATAACCATTGGTTACATTTTGTTCCTGAGGCCTCTCAGCTTCTCAGGAGGAAAAATCCTAAGGAAAGGATTTTTGATAAAATGTGTCTGTGACACCCTGGGGGTCAGGGCACCCCAGAGCAGACAGAGGAATATTCCCTGTGCCCTGGCTTTCCACATTTTGGCAGCAGGATGGGCACTGCCCAGTCCAGTTCTGAGGTGTTTCCTTGTGAGAGGAGCTCAGGCTGTTCCTGCCAAGCACGAGCCCCTCCCTGGGAGCTGCTCCTGCCTTGGGAAGCCGGGTGTGATGGAGGGGGCTGGAAGTGCCACTGAGCTCTGTGTGTTCTGCTCCCCAGATCCCCGTGCCTGCCTTCAGCCTGGTGACCAAGGAGGGGCAGCCTGTGCACTACAACATGGAGGTGCCTGACTCTGGCATCGAGCTGCAGTGCACCCTGGCCCCCGACTGCAGCGTGGGCTGGGCCTGGCGCGTCAAGCACGGCCAGCTGGAGAACAGGCCCTGAGCCCTGCCTGCTTTGGAGCTTTGCACCTTGTGAAAGGAGGAATTGCAAAAGCTTCTGACCTCCCCTGCCGTGGAGCACCAAGTGCGGTGGCTGCTGTTTGTGCTGCAGCAGGATCACAGCTCACTGCCCTCGCTTCTGTTGGCTGCTCTGATCCACTTCCAAGACATGTCCTGAGCTTAGACATTCCCCAGGACAGTGGGAATTCCTTGTTTTGGGTGTGTTAGAGCTTGAGAATGGTAGGTGGAAATTCCTCACTTCTCAGAGGAAGGAGGTTGTGCTTTTCAGGAGAGCAGGGCCATGAGGACTCTGCTCCTGCTCCAAGGTGAGGTCGGTCGTGGCTGGGCTTGCCCAGAGGAGGAGCTTGGGTGCCCTCAGTGTGGCTGGGGTTGCTTGTGCCAAGAGGAGCTGGCTGACTTCCTTCCAGCTGGAGGAAAAAACATTTCTGGAGGCTCTGGGGAGCATCATCTCCACCTCAAGCCTTTAGCATGGGGAAGATCCACAGCAGTCACTGGCTGGCTCTTGGTTTCACCTCCCACCCTTCCCCGCAGTTGCTTCATTCTTGAATGAGAAAAGAACTTTGTTCCCAGAAAGAGCTTTGCTTGCAGCTCCCACCTGCAGGTCTCAGAGGAGCTGCTGCTCTCTCTGGTGTCCCTGGCAGGCAGGGCAGGAGCAAGGTACAGAATTCCATGGAGGGGTTGTTCCTCCATCCTGTTCCCATCTCTGATGTGGGACTTCAGGTGCGCTGTCCCATCCTTGGAGGAATAAGGGACATCAGCCCTGTCAGCTGTGACAGGGCTGAATTTTATGGCAGAGTTTATAAAAATCTCCCTCCCAGCTCCCAGTTCTCCCTCCCAGCCCAGTGCCCCAGTTCTGTGAAGTCTCACAAGGCTTCCCACTCCTCCCCTCACTTCAGACTGGGTTCACTGAGTGGGATGGGCAGCTGGGCCTGGAATGCCTTAAGCTTTAAACTGTTTTTTTTTTACTGATTTGTGAATGTTTGGAACACACTGAAACCTCACAGGTCACGTTCAGGTGGGTGGGTGTCGTTCACCCTTCTCCATCCCAGAACAGATCCCGAGGGAGGTGTGAGCTCCCAGTGTGCTTGTTCAGGGCTGTGCTTGTTCCAGGCCTGGCACACCTGGAAATCACAATCCCTCCCTCTGGCTGTGGCTCTCCCAGAGCTCTGAGGCTGCATCTGAGCAGGGGCTCTGCATCCAGCCTGGGCAGAGCAGCAGCTCCCAAAAGCCAAGGTGGGCTCTGCCAGGTCCGTGCTGGTCTGGGAGACACAATAGGGCAGCAAAGTGTTCCCAAGGGAAGTTCTCTTAGAAAATAGCTGGGAAAAGCTGAGCTCAGCCTCCCTTTTTGAGGAGCAGCACTCCTTAAACAATGGATGCTCTTTCCCTTTGGTCTCCCAGAGCATGGGCTGGTTTTGCTCCACCAGACAGTGACATCCCTGATCAGAAAACTCAAGTTTGTAATAAGAATGATGTAATAAGAAAGTGGAATTCATGAAGAAAAATGAAACCTGTCACCACTTTGGGTATCATTTTTATAGCACTTTTTGTTCTAAAGCACTTAATAGATTGTCCAAAATAGGCACCTAATTATATCTACTATGCCACATTCAGAGTCTTTTCAGTAAATAATTAACACATTATGCACATGTCTTCCAGGAGGGAGTGGGGGAAGGGGGTGGTTGGCTCCATTTCTTTTTTCAGATGCCATAAACTACTAAAAGTTTAAGCTCTGGAGCAGGAGGGATCAAAGTGCCTCTTCCAGGGCTCCCAGGAGCTCCCAAGCACAGGTTCAGTGCATGCCTGACTCCTTTCCTGAGTTCCTCCAAGGGGACAGGAGGAAAACTTGGTTTTTTTTGTGAGTGTGTGGTGATGTGTGTATCCCAAAGCATGGTGGGTTCCATCCCAAAGGCTGCACCTTGTGCCTGTGTCACCTGGGGGATGCTCCCATGTCCTGGTATCTAGTTCTGTGCCTAGGCATTGGCATTGAGCCCTGGAGCAGCAGGGAGGGAGCAGCAGGACTGTCTGCAGGACTCCTGGGCTCTGCATCTGCAGCATTAACCTGAACTCAGGCCACCTGCACAAGGGCAGGGAACCTTCCTGGGCCTGGGATGTCCTTGCAGGGCCCATGGAGATCTCCTGGCCCATGGAGATATCTGTGTTCCCCTGGTCCATGGAGATCCTCAGGCCCATGGAGATATCCGTGTTCCCAGGCCCATGGAGATATCTGTGTTCCCAGGTCCATGGATATGTCCATGTTCCCCAGATCCATGGAGATCCCCAGGTCCATGGAGATGTCTGTGTTTCCAGGCCCATGGACATGTCCATGTTCCCCAGGTCCATGGAGATGTCTGTGTTTCCAGGCCCATGGGGATCACCAGGTCCATGGAGATGTCTGTGTTTCCAGGCCCATGGAGATCCCCAGGTCCATGGAGATGTCTGTGTTCCCAGGTCCATGGAGGTGTCTGTGTTCCCAGGCCCATGGACATGTTCATGTTCCCCAGGTCCATGGAGATGTCTGTGTTTCCAGGCCCATGGGGATCACCAGGTCCATGGAGATGTCTGTGTTTCCAGGCCCATGGAGATGTCTGTGTTTCCAGGCCCATGGGGATCACCAGGTCCATGGACATGTCCATGTTCCCCAGGCCCATGGAGATGTCTGTGTTCCCAGGTCCATGGAGATATCTGTGTTCCCAGGCCCATGGTGATGTCTGTGTTCCCCAGGTCCATGGAGATGTCTGTGTTCCCCAGGTCCATGGAGATGTCTGTGTTCCCCAGGTCCATGGAGATGTCTGTGTTTCCAGGTCCATGGACATGTTCATGTTCCCCTGGCCCATGGAGATCCCCAGGCCCATGGAGATCCCCAGGCCCATGGAGATGTGCATGTTCCCCAGGAGGTGTCTGTGTTCCCCTGGTCCATGGAGATGTCTGTGTTCCCAGGTTCATGGAGATGTCTGTGTTCCCCAGGTCCATGGAGGTGTCTGTGTTCCCAGGCCCATGGACATGTTCATGTTCCCCTGGTCCATGGAGATGTCCATGTTCCTCAGTACCCTCATAGCAGCATTAGCCAGGACTCCCTGTTTGTTTTGTCCCAAGCCTTCAGTCCTGTTTTGCTGCCACCACAAGTGCCCAGTGAGGCTGCAGGCTCCCTGCTGGCCGTGTCCCTGCTCCCAGGGTGGGGTGTGGTGTCACATCCCTGCCTGGGCACAGACACCTCGGCAGCCCCACAAACCTCTGGTGCCTTCCCAGTCGCTGAGCTCCTCTGGGGTGATCTCCAGGCTGTGCTGCCAGCCAGCCTGGGCTGTCCCTGGCTATCTCCTGCTGCCAGGACAGTTTCCTCTTCCCTTGCCTTGTCACTTTGCTGTGACAGGCACGAACAACCCGGCCTCCAGATGAAGGCAATACTGACAGCAGAAAGTCGGGAAAGATTTGCATTATCCTTGTTCAAATTTGGCTGGAACTGTCAGGTTTCATAACGAGTGTTTAGGACAGAACCCCAGCTCAGGGTGGGGAGGACAAGTAGGAGTGATAAACACAGATGGCTCTTGTTGTGCAGCTCCTTCTGGAAGTCTGGAGAAATCGCTGCTGGTGAGCTGAGGATCTCATTGGGATGGGCAGTGGGGGAAGGTGCTGGAACCAGGAGCTTGTATGGAATGAATGACACTTTATAAAACTGTGATTTCTTGAAGTTAACATTTTTGACCTGCATTTTCACAGGGAAAAAAAAAATAAAGCTATAAAAAGAGAAGATTTTGTTGTCGTTGCTGGTGGTTTGATGTGTTGTCCCAGAGAACAAGATGGTGATGCTGAATGAGATATTTCCAGGAAGAGGAGCCTGGTCTGAATGAACTCTGCTGTATAACTGGGGTTTGGGGGATTCAGGAGAAGTCAGGGAGGACACTTGGGCACTGCCCAGGGAATGGTGCCAGCCCTGAGGCTGCCAGAGCTCCAGGAGCTGCTGGACACTGCTCCCAGGGATGCCCAGGGTGGGATTGTTGGGGTGTCTCTGGGCAGGAGTTGGACTGGATGATCCTTGGGGGTCCCTTCCAGCCCAGGATATTCCAGGATTCTGTGATTTCTGGGGCTGAAGGGGCAGCACTGACTTGGATGGATGCCAGGCTTTGCTGAACAGCCTGGCATCTCTCCTTCCTAGCAGACAGTCCCTTGTCCTCCCTCTGTAGGGGATTTGCTGCACTGGGAGCTGCTCAGTCTTGCCCTGGGAGCTCAGGGGTGAGGCGGGCAGAGCTCTGGGGATCCCCCCACAGCTCCCAGTGCTGCAGCCCCTCTGTGCAGGAGCTGAATCCTTCCCCAGCGGGCTGGGGAGGGGCTGTGGCCAGGCTGCTGAGTGAGGACACTTACCCTGACACACATTTTTTGTGCTGTCATGCACCCACATGTCTGTGCTGTGAACAGACCTCAGAGCTGTTGTCCTCAAAAAAAAAAAAAAAAAAAAAAAGGAAGGTGGGTGGTTTGTTAGAATTTTGTTAGAATTCCAGACTGGATTGTGTTGGGAGGGACCCTGAAGATCATCTCGTTCCATCCTCTCACCTCCCAGTATCCCAGGGTGCTCCAAGCCCCGTTCGACCTGGGGATGGGGCAGCCACAGCCACTCCCTCCCTTCATCTTCCTCCCTCCATCCTTCCCTCACTCCATCTTTCCTTCCTTTCTCCCTCACTCCCTTCATGACAGCATCACCCCCCCATGCAAACCCTTCTGCCAGACAAGTCCTTCATCCTCTGAGACATTTTATTACCAGTTCTGCTTTAGATTAAACAGGCTTTCAGTATATAAAAATAATGTATACAAATGAGCAGTTAATGGTTTACATTTCTGGCTTAAAGGCATTTATAAGTTACACATTCATTTCCCATCCCTCCCCGGACACGGAGCCGGCGCTGAAGCAGCTTAAATACAGCAGGAAGCAGCGGCTGCTGTGGCTGAAGCGAGAAAGGACGGGAGGAGGGACAGGAGGAGGGAGGAGCGGGTTCGATGCGCCAGGAGAGGTTTAATTGCGGCACTGCGGGGTTACTCGGCAGCAGCGGGGCAGGGCAGGGAGCGACAGCCGGGTCCGGGCCGGTCCCGAGAGGTTCGTGCGGCTCCGGGGCCGCTCCTGCAGGCGGCAGCAGGGGCTGGGGCTGCCGACATCTCCTGCGTGTCCCACCCGAGAACACGGGGAGCCCCAGGGCTGACAGTCCCGGTTCATGCCAGAGGCTGCAGGTGGATGCTGGGGATGCAGGTGGGCGGAGGTGCCACCACCTCGCAGAGAAACTTGTCCCTGCTGCTGATTGTCGCAGCTCCGGAGCCTCCGCAGCGCTGCTCGCCACAGCCTTGGGGCCACCCTGTGTGGGGGTGTTCCAATGCCCGCTGCCGCAGCACAGAGGAATTTGAAGGAAGACTTAGAAAACCATGAAAAGTAGCACCGCTGCCAGCCCCTGGCTCCGGGAGGTGCCCGGGCTGGGAGCTTTGCAGCAGGAGAACGCGGCTCTGGGGGGCTCTGCGGGCCGGGGGAGATGAGATGTGCAGGGGGATGTGCGGGGAGCGCTGCGGCCCTGGCTGACACCCCCTCCCCTCCCGCAGCGGCACTCGAGGGTGGGACAAGGACACAGGGCCGGGGTGGGGATGGGACAGCCTCTCTTTTCCTTCCAGGACAAGCTGGAGCCCTTTTTGTGCTTCCCTGTAGCCAGGACGACCTGCCAGGCTGCGGAGAGGAGCTCAGGGACACGGCCAAGCAAGCGCCGAGGGTGCTGTGCCCAGCCCAGGCGGGCAGAGCTGGCACATGAAGCGGCTGGAGCGGCTCGGAGCGGGCACTGTCCCTCCACCCCGCCGAGCCCCGGGCCCAGGGACTGACACCCTGCGCTCCCACCTGCGTCGGGAGGACGGTGCTGGCCCGGTGCTGCCGCTGCAGGGACGGCGCCGGTCACAGCGCGATGTCCGGCGTCGCCTGCAGGCCCTGCCCCGCCGCCCGTTTCTTGGCGCTGCCGCGGGCCTTGTCCCCCCGCCGGTACGGGTTGTTCCGCAGATCTGCACCGGGGGAAGCACCGGGGCTGGGTGAGCTGCGATCACTGCCCGCCCGGCATGGCCGGGGTCCCTCAGCCATCGCGTTAATGGGGAATGGTTTGGGTTGGAGGGACCTCAAAGCCCACCCAGTGCCATGGCAGGGACACCTTCCACTGTCCCAGGCTGCTCCAACCTGGCCTTGAACACTGCCAGGGCTGGGGCAGCCACAGCTGCTCTGGGCACCCTCACAGGAATGACATTTTTCCCAAACCTTCAATCTAAAACTCTCCTTTGTTCGTTTAAAACCCCTTTCCCTTGTCCTGTCTGCCCGGGATTCGCCCCTCTGGGTATGAGGTCAACCAGGAGGAGCCAAGGGCTGAACGCAGGGATGGGAGGAGCAGCAGCTACCAACAAACAGCCCATGGGACCCCGAGCATCGGCTCTGGGAGCCCAGCACCGCCCCGGGGGCTGATCCCGGGTGTCCGGGGCTGATCCCGGGTGTCAGCGTGGCACAAATCCCGGAGGAATCCCGGCGGGGACAGGGGGGGAAGCCCGGCAGCCCCCGCCCGCCTGCGCCGCCCCACGTTACCTACAGAGGACTCTCCTCGTTGAAGCTCACGTCGCAGAAGAGGCGGGACGAGCGTTTGCCCGTCCGGGCCGTGAAAGGAACAGTTTTGAGAGCTGAGCAGAGCGACCCAGAGACAGCGAGGAGGAGGAGAGAGGAGGAAGAAGCAGAACAGGAGGAAGAGCTATGAGACAGGGCAGCAGCTTTGCCATGTGGGATGTGAAGGTGTTTGCAGGTTTGGTCCCTGTGACGGGGTTTGGTGAACCCCAGCTCCTGTGACAGCCCCTCAGCCCCCAGCACTGGATCTGTGATGTGGAGACACCTGGCTGCTCACCTGAACTCATCTCTCACCTGAAATTATATCCTCAATGGCCCCATCTTTGCCTTCATAGATGAGAGGCTCCTTCACCATCTGCCTCTTCTTCAGCTCAGCAATCATGTCCATCTGCTGCCTCCTGGCCTTCTGGACAGGCAGCTGGGAGGGGACAGGGCACGTGAGTGGTGTGATCACACCCAGAGGAGGTGGGGTACCCTCCCCTTCACCTCCCTCCCCACCCTCATCCCAGCCAGGGCTGGGGCTGGGGCCCCACCAGGACACAGACAGGGGGGCACCTTCACCTCAGGCTGCTGCTCACTGCCAGGGGAGCCGGATTCTGCCTCCTTGGCTGCAGCCTCTTGCTTCTTCCACAGCTCAATGTCCTGCTCTGCTTTCTTGGGAGAGAGGCAGGAAGGGTGTGCTGAGCCAGGGGAATCCAGGACTGCAGCCTCCTTCCTTCTTCGCCTCACAGCCCCCAGCTCACCCCAACCCCGTTCCAAAATCTCTGACCACCCCAAAGGCATTCCAGCCTGTGACCTCTGCTGGTTGCTCCAAAGTGGAGTCAGGTGCCCCAAATCTCCTCCCAGGCCTCAGAAACAGAGACCCCCACGTCCCCTCCTACCTTGTAGGCTTTGATGAAGCGCATGAACATGGGGAAGAAGGTGGTGGGGGGACTGGTCTTGGGGTTCTCCCCAAAATACTCCACGGCTGACTCATAGGCTTCCTGTGGGCAGAGACACCTGATGTGGGGGCTGAGCCCCATCTCAGCACCTCCTTCCAGCCTCTCCCACCTCCCCATCCTGCCTGACCCGAGCAGGATCCTCTCCCACGGGCAGAGGTGTGAGCAGAGGGTGTCCCCATGCAGGGACTGTCCCCATGCAGGGACTGTCCCCATGCAGGGACTGCCCCCACGGTCCCACCCCAGCACCCACCTTGGCGGTTTTGCTGTCAGCCTGCAGCTTCTCCATCACCTCGGAGTTGACCTTGAGGAAGTCCTTGAGCACGGGGCTGTCGTCCTGCCTCATGAACTCCCTGCGGGTCAGCTCCATGCCCTGCTGCAGGCTCCGCACGTCCTGCAGGACCCCGTCCAGGGACACTGAGGGAAGGGAGCAGGGCGGGGTCAGGGCAGGCTCCGAGTGCCAGGGGCTGCCCCGACCCCCAGCCCGGGGCCCCTGGGCACTACCTGTGCCTGCCTTGTCGAGGAAGTGCAGCTCGGTGTGGAAGCCGGTGAGCTCCGGGTACTTCTCCATGATCACCCGCACCAGGTAATGCAGCAGCGTCTGCTTGCGGTCTGTGGACTTCATCTCGAGGAGCTGGGGCGGGGCAGAGTCAGCCCCGAGCCGCAGCCACCACCCCTGACCCTGCTCAGGGCTGCCTCTGGTGGCCCTTTGTCCGTGTGGCTGGGCCTGTGTCCGTCCCTCCATCCCCCAGCCGGGTCTGCATCCCTCCACTCTCATGGCTGATTCCCATCTTTCACCTTCCCCATGGCTGGGTCTGCATCTGGTTCCTCATCCCTACATTCCCATGTATGACCTTCCTCCCTCTATCTCCACACTGGTCCCCATCTTCCTTCATCCTATTTTCCTCCATCAAGGTCCTTGACTCCTTTAACCTCTCCATATCAGGTCTCCATCCTTCCAGCCCCATTCCTGTGTATCCCACCCCTTTGCCTCTCCATCCAAACAGTCTCCTCATCCCTCTGTCCCCACAGCCAAACCTCATGTCCCTCCATCCCTACAGCTGGTGCTTCCATCCCTCAATCCCCACCGCAGATTCCTGTGTCCCTCCATCTCTGCAGCTGGTCCTTGTGTCCCTCTGTCCCCAGGGGTGTCCCTGGCAGTGGCAGTGTCCCCATCACCCCACACCAGGG